TAGACAATTTTTATAACTTCGCGTCATCCTTTGCTGTTACTCAGGCCCAAATGACTCCCAACCCATCAGAAGCTTTTATTCCTGCAAACGTAGTTCTGAAATGGTAAGTAGATGTTTTCCCATTCCTGCACCAAACCAGAATAATCATAATTGCATAGTATTAATCTGGTTAATCAGACTGATGTTTGATCAACTCAAAGCTACTTATTAACCCATCAGCAAATCTTGAGGTCTTTATGTTTTGATTCTATTTTCTGTTAGGATTACAGATGGCAAGTATGCTGTGATAAGTAACTCCCTCCCTAAGTGAAAGAAAGTAGAATACCTGATCCTTTCCTTCTGTGCAGATTTGTACAAATTCATTTAAAATTACATATATTAGTATTTTTGTCACCAAGGAATGATGTTAGCAACCAAATATTTTTTTAGCTTAATAATACACAGGGGCTTTGCTATTATTACAGCATTATAACATATTGAGGCTAATTCTGCTGATTGCCAGAAGTTCGATTCTGACAAACTTGAGGTTGACTCAGCCTTCCATCCTTCCAAGTTCAATAAAATGAAGGATCCAGTCTGTTGAGGGCAATATGCTAACTCTATAAACTGCCCAGAGGGTGCTGTAAAGCATTATGGGGTGATATATAATTCTATGATATCAGCTTGCCTAGAGAATAGACAATTGAGATTCAGTGCTGGAGATTAAGAGAAGTCTTAGCAGAAATTTCTTTGTGTGTAGAGAAAAAATAACAGAATAATAGAGTTTGAAGGGACCTTGAAAGTCTTCTAGTCCAACCCCCTGCCCAGGCAGGAGATACCATTTCAGACAAATAGCTGCCCAAACTCTTCTTAAAAATTTCCAGTGTTGGGAGTACCCACAGCTTTTGGAGGCAAGTCCTCCCATTGATTAATTGTTCTCACTGTAAGGAAATTCCTCCTTAGTTCTAAGTTGCTTCTCTCCTTGATTAGTTTCCACCCATTGCTTCTTGTCCTGCCTTCAGATGCTTTGGAGAGTAGCTTGACCCCCTCTTCTTGATGACAGCCCCTTAGATATTGGAAAGGAGAATATTATCCTTAACTTGAGATTGCCACCAATTTAAACATACAAAATAGCTTTGCTATAAAATTTTCATTTATCCACATTTTCTGTTTCTCTCCTTTTCTTTCAGGTACGAGAATTTCCAAAGAAGACTAACTCAAAACCCTTTTTTTTGGAAAACTTAAAATCCCGAGTCAGTTTCTTGGGAGGCCACTTGAAACAAGCAGACAGAGCTTAAAAGATGCAATATCCCGAGCTTGCTGAAAAACATCCGGATGAATGCCTAAATTTGACATGGAGGGAGGAAAAAAAAACACCTCAGCTTTTGTAATACTTCTGGGACTCTGCTTTAAAATTAAACCCTAAAGAGTAGTCATTGCAACGTGTCCTGTTTTCAAGTTAAAAACTATAAACAGGGAAACCTACGGTGTGTACCGAAAACATGGTCAATAATATTAACAAGAATAAACCTTTTGATTTGTTTTTTTTTCCCCCAGACTGATTATGGAACATGTTTGTTTATGCTTTGTATAATAGCTCATATGACTTCTAGATGTCCTGTTCAGTTAATTCTGCTTACAATAGTTGACTTGATTACTTTGGTTTTCATGTTCAAAAGAAACTGTTTCATCAGTAGCCATGGCAAACATATCCTTCTTACTATATATTCAGGATTAATTCTATCTGGGTACTTCTTTAGCATAACCGGTTAACAATGGAGTTTGGGCCAATAGGGCATCTATCTTACAGCCTGCTCTGAAGGAGTGGCTGACAATATAAGGGCTGTCCCATGAATTCTTTCTTCTTTGAAGTTTGTTGAAAGTTGCAGTTGTTGACTCATCAACCTGTTGATCAAGATTTATCCCAAGCCTTATTTATATAACGCAGAAGCCTGATGTGTAATGGCTATTGATTCACTTTTTGGAGGGGAACTGAGAGCCACCTCTAAAAAGCAGTGGGCACATTCTGTGGGGAGGGCATCAAAATGCCTCTTGATTAGAGGAATAGGGAAACTGACCCTTGCACAGGTTCTAGTTGGTTGCCCATAAGTCTGGCCCAGCATCTTAAAAGCTATAGAGCAGAGGTGTCCAACCTTGGCAATTTTTAAAACTTGTGGACTTCAATTCCCAGAATTCCCCAGCTAGCATGGGTGTTTTTGGGTTGGCGCGAGGAGGCGATCAACAGCAGAAGACTAGATTCTGTCCCACTCTTTTATAAGACTTGGGGAAATTTTGTTCCAGCCTCATTTTCAAGCCAACCTCCTGTCCTGCCATGTGTTGTGCTCATTGCTACCCAAGATTTTAGCGTGGACGGACTGTGAAAAATGTATTTCTGGATTCTGAACGTTAAATTCAGCTGCCTTCAACATTGGCTTGGGAGATATCAGTGAAACCTTGCTGTTTTTTTTTTTCTTGAAATGCTCACATCGTTAATTCTGGAGCATACACTCGAATTCATATGTGAAGTCGAGATTTATTGGAAGGTTTTATCAATGGCAGCAGGAGAGAATTCTTGCTTAGTCCACCCATCCCACTCTTCAATTCAACTCCCCCACCCCTCTTTAAAGCAGAATATCAGAAGGCAAGATTTAAAAGCCAAGCTGTCATGTACTTTAGGACAGTCTTGTCTTTATGTAGGGAATAGGCAATCGTGAATAAAGATAAATACACAAGTATCTTTTTTTTAAAAACTGAGCAATATTTTGCTGATGGAAGAATATAATTTGAAACCTAGTGTGTAATGTATTCTAACTTTTGCATCTGCAGTACAGTGTTACTCAAAAGTTTACGTATTTTTTTCAGCAGAACCAAACAAAGAGTTTTTGCCTACCCATCTATCCAGTTTGTAAACTGCCATCTCATCTGGGTGATTCAAGAGCAGCAAAAAATGTAGCGGTCTTAACTTAATCTTTCATATCTGACTATTTCAAATAATTTATCCTCATTAATGATACATACACCAAACTGATTTAAGGAGAGGATGAAACTAGCACATTGAACAAAAAGGAGTAGGTAAGATAATTAACAGCTATGAAATTAGTATTTCTGGCAGAATTTTAGATTTCTCATATTTTATTCCACTTTTCTTTGTTTGTCATATAGAGTCTGGGCAAGTTTCAATTTTCCAAAATAATTGTAACTTATTGCAATTAATTTATTCATACTGAGCTGGTGCATGACTGACCTCAAATCGTTTCTATTGACAGAAGGCTTTGAAGTTTCAGTTTCCTAGCAACTCTTACCTTTATGTTAAGCCCCATGTTTTCTTGGTAACAAAAATATAATGAGAGTATTAATAATCAGAAGAGGTGTTTTTTTATTCCAGTTGCATGTTAATTTTTTAGACGCAAATAGCATCATCTTAGCCTAGGTTTGCTGGTATGTCACAACAGATGGCAACAGCTAGCAAACCTTGGCTAGTCTCAAAAAGATTAAACAGTGTGTGGTTTCATAAATGAATGGAAGACCACTGGGAAAGGCCAAGTTTGTAGATTAAACAAGGAAGCTGAAAAAAAAACATTCCAGAAAAGTCCATGTTCACATTAGAAAATCTACTTGGCCATATTCATGATGGGCCAAGGTAGATCAGAATGAAACATTTATTTATTTAGATTATAGATATAGATATAATAGATATGATAGATAGATGGATGGCATGGATGGATGGATAGATAGGTATGCTACATATATGGATGATAGATAGATAGTAAGTAGATGGAGATAGATAAATAGAAAGATGATAGATAGTAGGTAGATAGATGAAGAGAGATATGTAGATAGATCAATAGATGATAGAAAGAGAAAGTTAGATGATAGAAAGGTAGGTAGATAGATGAAGATAAATATAAGATAAATAGAAAGTTGATAGATGATAGGTAGATGGGGATATCTATCTGTCTGTCTGTCTATCCATCTATCCATCTATCCATCTATCTATCTATCTATCTATCTATCTATCTATCTATCTATAGAAATTTAGATGATAGAAAGGTAGGTAGGTAGATAGAGATAGATATAGATAAATAGAAAGATAGATGCTAGATAGAAAGTTAGATGATAGACAAATAAATAGATAAGTGGATGATAGAGAAAGTTAGATAGAAAGGTAGGTAGATGAAGATAAATATAAGATAAATAGAAAGATAGTTGATAGATGATAAGTAGATAGAGGTGTGTGTGTGATATAATTTTAGATGATAGAAAGATAGGTAGACAGACACACAGGCAGACAGAAATGTAGGTAGGTAGGTAGATGGAGATAGATATAGATAAATAGATGTTAGAAAGTTAGATGATAGATGGATAGATGATAGATGGATATGTGTGTGTGTGTGTGTATCTATATATATTTATATATCTATATAGAATGATATGTGATAGAAAGATAGAAAGTTAGATGATAGACAGGCAGCAGAAGGGGACAACCAGAAGCAAGGTGGAGAGGCTGCTTTGAAGCCTGTGAAGGACCAACTTAGGAACAGATCGCTCTGGAGAACCTCTACGTATGGTTGCTAAGAGTCGAAACGACGTAATAGCTCATAATCAAAGAATCAATCAATCCATCCATCAATCAAACAAACAAACAAAGGACGCTATCTTTACATCAGTCCTTCTCTGATCGTTTCCTTCTTGCTTTGGGGGCCAACTTCTCCCATCACTCCCCAGCCTCGAAGACAACGCCCAAAAAGTGGCCGGAGGATTCTAAATCGAACCTCGCTTGGACAAGTCACCCCCAAAAGCCGGGCGAGGAATCCCTCGATTGTGACGTCACTCCTGGTAACCAGCGAGGGAGACGCGCGTCCTAGCGACAAGCCCCTCCCCTTCCCTCCATCAGCCCCTCCCCTCCCCAGCGCTGCGTTTCGCAGAGTTTCTCTCTCTCTCTCTCTCTTCGCCCTTCTCTCTCTCCTTGGAGGCGCCGAGTTTCGCTCCTTGCATTGATGGGGAGGAGGAGGAGGAGGAGGAGGAGAGCAAGAGAAGGGAAATGGGGGGAGCTCGCTAAGGCCCTGCTGTAAAAAAAAAGAAAAATCAAGTCGACCAGGAGGGACGAAACTTAAGGAGGATGTGACAGCAACTTTTCCCACCCGGGATTCAAGGATCATCAGCTTATTTTGCCTCCATCCCCCGCGTGGCTTTTTTTTTTTTTTTTTTGGACTTAAGATAAATTGGGGCCGAGGATGCCAAAATGTTGGACATGATCCAAAATGCAATCACCCAGGCGGGCAAGAACCTGTTCATAACCCTTCCCAAGCTCACTTCCGAAGGTAAAATTCATTTAATGATTGCATTAAATACTGCAGGGATTTGAATGCCTTTTCTGGATAGATGATTTTTTTAAAAAAATAAATCCCTAGTTTTTACAGAAAGGTTCCGAGAATATGATATGGAAATATTCTTGCAGGCACAACATGGCCTGGTTAAGCCAAGCTGGTGGATGAGGTTTGTCCTTTTTTAATTGCAAATAATACAAACCTAGAACATATACATCTAAAAAAGAAAGAAAGAAAGAAAGAAAAAAAGAAAATGGAAAAAACCCCTAATATTATAGTGCACCCCCTCCAGACCCTGTTTTCCCTTCCTTATATTTCTTCATCTATTAAAACTAAAAGATATACCATCTATTCCAATTGTGCCCTTATCCCCTCCAAAAGAACATATATTCTTGAGTAGGTTTGCTCCCTTTGCCTCCCACCCCTATTTCATTATAATTGTTTGCTTTGATCATCCCCTTTTAAAATTTAATTTCCCTTGTTAATTTACCATTTGTTGCCATACTCCAAATTTCATTATACCACTCATTTCTTTGAATATCCCAATTTCGTCCCCAATATTTAGCCATCACTAACCTAGCTGCCCTTATCAAATTTACAATCAATTCCTTTTTCATTTCATTTATATCCCGTTTTTCCACCAGCAACAGTAATGCAATTCTAGGTGACATGTCTAAATTTGTATTCAAGAATGCTCTTATAGCTTTGTTCTTATTCAAAATCTGTGGAAATTGGATCTAATTGCTAATTAGGTGTTAGTATTGGTGTTAGTATTATTGGTGCTATTATTCTTTGCTGAAGGTTATTCAAATATTTACCTACTTATCTATTCAGCTATTATTACTTTATCTCTTCTGCTAAGTTTACTTTTGTTAATTTCTCTCTCCTCTTTCAGTACTCTCAGGGGAATTTGGCATAGTTTGCCACTAGATGGCAGCAGCAAACTATTTTGGCTGCTGTCAAAAAAAGCTAAGCCGGGTCAGTCCTGGATAATATTGGGTGGGAGATTTAATAACAGGGTTATTTCAGGGCTGTAAATTAGACTGCAGGGAGATAAAGGCTACTGTGCAAGAAGACTCAGTTAACAACTGTCTTGCTTAGCAACAGAAATTATAGGCTCATATGTGATCATATGTCAAGAACCATCTGTCCTTATAAACCATAGAGACTGATTGCCATGACTATAAATCCATGCAATTAACTATTTCAGTGAGCTTCTACCCAGGACTGAGGTTCATCCTCTTTTTAGAGTTGTGTAAAAAGTGTGTTCAAAAATATGTGTGCTTTATGTTTCAGATGTTGTTAATATTTGGGACTCCGTTTCTGAGTTTGTTGAGAAGCAACTATCGATGAAAAAGGTAGGAATCTTTGTAAAATTTTCTACTTGGATTCTTCAGATTTAGGTACTGTATTTATTACTTTTAGTTGTATCTTGTCTCTATTATCTATCTATTTTCCTTCCCTCCCTCCCTCCCTCCCTCCCTCCTTCCTTCCTTCCTTCCTTCCTTTCTTTCCCACACAAATTTTAAGATCTTCTCCCAGTCAGAAGATAAGGGGTTAAGAGTATAAAAACACAGACCATGTTAAATCACATCAAAGCCTTGCTTAATTCATCCATCAGAGGTGTCTGATTCAGAGCAATCAAGAATTTTTTCTTAAAAATATTTCACTTCGGATTTATCAATGACTCAGCTTCTGCTACTGTATTAAAAAGGCCCTCCCCCGAGGAGTCGCCAGCCGGCATTGTCCGGTCGACGGCACCCGGAAAAGGCCCCTCCTGTGAGATCTTATCGGCCGTTGGGAGGTATGTGGCAGAAGACGGTCTTGCAGATATCCGGGTCCTAGGCCATGTAGGGCTTTAAAGGTAATAACCAGCACCTTGAAGCGTGTTCGGAGACCGATGGGGAGCCAGTGCAGCTCGCGGAGGATAGGTAGAAAAAGTGACTTATGGTTGGTTTTCACACTTACAACCATTGCTGCATCCCCATGATCACATCAGAGGTGGTTTTCAGCAGGTACTGACCAGTTCTGGAGAACCGGTAGCGGAAATTTTCATAGGTTTAGAGAACCGGCAAATACCACCTTTGACTGGCTCTGCCCCAATCTATTCTCTGCCTCCTGAGTCCCAGCTGATTGGGAGGAAATGGGGATTTTGCAGTATCCTTCCCCTGCCACGCCCACCAAGCCACACCCACAGAACCGGTAGTAAAAAAATTTTGGGTCACATGATCAAAATTGGAATGCATGGAAACTGACTTGTATTTGTGACAGTTGCAGTGTCCCGGGGTCACGTGATCACCATTTGTAACCTTCCTAGATGGCTTCCGACAAGAAAAATCAACGGGAAAGCCAGATTTGCAAAATAACTGTGGTGATTCACTTAGCAATGATGGTGATTTGCTCAACAACTGTGGCAAGAATGGTCATAAAATGGGGCAAAACTCCCTTAACAATTGTCTTGCTTCGCAGCTGAAATTTTGGGCTCAGCTGTGGTCATAATACGAGGACTACACGTAATGTAGGGACTCAGGAGCCTTCACTGTGTTACTCTTCCAGCTCTTATTTAGGGCTCCCTCTTTTGCAGGGTGTCCAAATTCCTGGCCTTGGGACGTTCTCCTTCCTTAGAGAGAAACTGCACGTTGGCAGCAACAAACCCATCTTCCTTCAGCGGCCTGTCTTCCTTTTTTCGGAGAAACTCGCCCAGATCCATGGACTAAAATTCAACAAAATACGCATTCCGGGTGAGAAATTCAGTTTCAAGGTCTTCCTTCAAATCTTTTCAAAGAAAAAAACCAGAAAGTCCAATTGCCTCTTGAAAAAGCACCTTTGGGACAACCGTGACCTGGATGACTGAGAATCTCCATAGGCATTCAAATCTAAATTCTTTGCTTACCCATCAGAATCATTTTAAAATAATTGTTTATTTATTTTATCGACTGTTGTCTAGGTTACGGCTCCTTCTTTCTGTCTCCCAAGGCCATTCCTGCATACCATTACAGTTATTGATTGACTGTATCCCTAAGCACGAGCTCTAGGTGTCTGTTACGATATTTAAATTTAGTAGCTCAAAAAGCGGAGTGGTACGATGAGTCGGAACACGCAGTTGTAGCTGATTGATCAGAGAGAAAGAGCTGGCTCCTGCATGAGGCACTCTATGCTGTGATTGGTTACTGTGGGTAAAAGGGGGAGTGTCCTTGTTTCCCACCTTTTTCTCCTGTGTGCACTGCAATTTACCTCACGATGATTTTCCTGTGAGGTAATTTACCTCACGATGCTTCTGTTTGCCTTGACTATCTTGACTGACATAAAGATAGCTGTAAACATATTTATTTATATAAAACTACTACAACTTCGTGTCAGCGTCTGCGACTTCATTTGGAAACCTGCTGCGCAATTCCCTGATAACATCTATGGAGATTCTCAGTCATCCAGGTCATAGTTGTCTCAAAGTTGCTTTTTCAAAAGGCAGTTAGACTGGGTTTTTATTTTGAGGAACAAGAAGAAGGCCTTTTGCTCCGCATCCAAGAAGCCTCATCTGTTGTGATGGTGGAGAGAATGGAAGGATAGATATTCTCACAATGGATGAAGCTTCTTGAATGGGAAGTGAAACGTCGTCTTCTTGTTCCTCAACAAATAGTCCAGTTGCCTTTAAAAAAAAACCCCACACCTTTGACACAGGCTCTTAAACTGCTTACAGCTTGGTAAGAACTACTACAGAACTACTACTGGATCATCCTCCAACATCAAACATGATGTTGGTTTATTTATGATGTCAGTTGCCGAAGTATTAAGAGGGTTTCAAGATACCTTCCTGTCTGAATCAAGATTTGGTTCCAGCCGAGGTGGCGCAGTGGTTAGGGTGCAGTACTGCAGGCCACTTCAGCTGACTGTTATCTGCAGTTCAGCGGTTCTAATCTCACTG